TTTAATTTGTAATAATATTTCACAATATTACTGTTTTTGCTGTATTTTGATCAAATAAATGAAGCCTTTGTGAGCAGTAGAGTGGTCTTTAAAAAACATTTTAAAAAATCTTAATTATTACAAACGTTTGACCAGTGGAGTTTGTGTGTGTGTGTGTGTGTGTATATACAGTATATATATTACTATACACAGCAGTTGTTTTCCATTGTTCTGGGGTCTTGAAACATCTGAATCGCCATAAAAGTCTTTTGTGTGTCTTTGAAGGCTGTGCTTTATAATGACCGTTCGGTGCTGGAGAACCATCACGCAGCGTCTGCCTGGAATCTCTTCATGTCGCGGCCTGAGTACAATTTTTTGGCCAGTCTGGACAACATGGACTTCAAACGCTTTCGCTTCCTGGTCATCGAGGCCATACTGGCCACCGACCTCAAGAAACACTTCGACTTTCTGGCTGAATTCAACGCCAAAGTGAGCACCTCTGATATTAGATATACATGTATAGAGCAACTAATGCTGTGCACTTTATTCATTTATGTATTTTGTGTTTGTAGGTGGGAGATGATGGATGCTCAAGCATTGATTGGACTAATGAGAATGATCGTCTGCTGGTCTGTCAGATGTGTATTAAGTTAGCGGATATAAACGGTCCGTTGAAAAGCAAGGAGCTTCATTTGCAGTGGACGGAAGGCATCGTCAATGAGTTTTATGAACAGGTCAGTGTCTACTCTTTGATGCACGTTTATGTCTGAAGTAATTTTCGAGCTGTTCAGTCACAGCCGAGACAAGCAGGAAGCTCTCACGATGTCTAAGTGCCTGGCAACCACACCTCACGCTCATAGAGGCTGTGGTAATGCGCACACGTAACCTCACAGCAACTACGCAGCGTCTCGGTATCATTCACATCGAGTGGATGGAGAGGATGGCACAGATACGCTGTTGCCTGGCAACCGTCCACATCCTCCTCAAGCGGAGCTGTATTGAGAATGCAGGGCAGAAAGTAAGCAAAGTTTTACATTGGTTCGGTCCGCTGGAAATGATGTTTTTTTCAAGCAAAACAAGCTATTCAGTGATGATAAACAAAATGAATTGGCTGATATTTGGCCAATTAAAGTTGTCATGAAATCATTTGGCTCTATTTACTTTGTTGGTGCACATTATTCTAAAGAATAAAATGTTCATAATCATTCATCAAAACATTCTGTTCAGCTGACACCATCAATCCTTATCTTTTTCCTTTTCAACCTCTCATCTTGTCCATTTAAAATCCTTTATCACTCAGAAATATGTCACATTAGATGAGTAAAATACAAACGCCTCTCCTTTATTGATACTTTATTATTACACCGCAAAAGAAAAAAAAATCTAGTATTTTTCTCGTTTTCCGGTACAAATATCTCAACATTTTGAATTTAAGATACATTTACTTGAGCACCTAGATGACAAGATATTTCAAGTGTTGTTTTCTGAAAAAATGTAGTGAGATTATACTTAAAATGAGAAAAAATCAATAGGGTCAGAAAAATAAACTTAAAAGGAATCAAGATTATTTCTCTGACCACAGTGATAGATTTTTTTATTATTATAATTATTATTTTTTAATATTAACTCTTTAATATTAATCTTAATTTTCAGATAAATTAAGATTCTCACAGTTCTGTTTTATATCTCACAGTTCTGAGTTTATATTGCACAATTTAGCTTTATATCTCACAATTCTGAATTGATTTTATGCTTAAAAACATCCTTCAGTGGGATCAGAAAAATAAACTTGAATCAAAGGGAAAACTTTTTTTTTTTTACCCATTTGACAGATTTTTTTTTCTTATTTTAAACGCACTTCACTCTGAACAAATTTTCAGAAAACAACAAGACTTATATTAATGAAATTTTCTTCTCAAGTAAATGTATCTTGATTTAAGAATTTTCAGATATTTGTAATGGAAAACAATACAAAAATGCTAAGAAAGAAAATTATTTTTCCCAATATATGAAAGACATTTGCTCTCGTCAAAATGCTAAATGTTGTGTAAAATGCATGTTTAAAGTGCATTACATATTAGCATAATATTGGCCAAACTTGACTGACCGCTACGGTACGTCATGCACGCTTGTTCAACCATGATTTCCTATATTCCATTAGCGTTTCTCTAAGAGTTAAGGGCTTGTTGGATGCCAGCAATGAGTAATAAAACACTGCGTCTATTATTGTGAGGAACACGGAGTGAGGATGACCCAGTTGTGTCAGGACCCCGTCACTGAGCTACAAAGCGTCATATGACCACCCCTGGCCATATTCAGCGCATTTCAAAAGGGACCAGAAATTATATGCTTCAAAGGAGCCTGTTTTTTCCCCTCCCTGTTTCGTTTCTTGAATGATTCATTTCTCCAGCACTTCTGAGTAGCACCTGACAGAACACAGCGCACATACATTACTGCCCTCTGACGACATCACCGCGCGGTTGCCATGGAAACTTGAGACCTTGCCTGTTGTTATGCCGCTCTCATAGTTTATTTCCAGGTACTGCGAAGCATATATTTTCATGTGGACTATAAGATGTTCTTCCAATCTCTGATTACTTACTTATTTCGATACTGTAATATGAAATAAATAATTAAAAAGCCCAGGCCTCACGTGGTTGGGTGTATTTCCCCCGTCCATGGGAAGGTTGACCTAGTTTTATAGCAGTCGAATGTCTGTGAAGTATGTTTCTCTCCTGAACTGGAAAAATCCAATCAAGTGTGTGTGACTCTTCAGCTGTGCTAGAATATACTGAGCATACTGTTCCCTGCCTGGTAATATCGTTATTTGTTTAATGTAATAGATGAGTATAAAATAGCTGCTGCATAAATAGTTTTCTTTGAAAATGTGAAGAAAAATGCTTCAAATCAGGCATCAATAAGATCAGATTGAACTGCATTATATGGAGCATTTCTGAATCAAAATTAAATGCATATTTGCAACATCACTGAATGCATTTCTCAGGATGAATTTTAGATGTGAAATGATGTGATGCTGCTTTCATATGCTTGTTAATATGAGGAACATATGATGTCTGGTGACATCAATTCCCATGATGCTCTTCATCCAAGTACAACTGGAGAAGGGAGTGCAGATGAAGGACAATGTTAGTTTCAGTTCATTTAATTTCAGAAGATTGGAAGCTTGTTTACACCATAGGATTAAAAAAAAAAAAATCCTGCTTTGGATAAAAAGCATCTGCTAGATGCATAAATGTAGGTAGATGTAAATCAAGCGTAGCGTTAGTTCTGGCAGGTCACGTTAGTCAAGCTCGCATCAGCTGATCCCCAGCTACCTATGGGAATACGACACCTATCTAAGCATTCATATATATATATATAAGGTCCCTCAGTATTATCAGCCGTTTTCGCATTGCTCAATAGCTAATTACCCTCCTCCATCCCCAACTCCTCCTCTGTCAGTCGGGATTCAGCCTTCTGATTCTCCTTTGAATTAGACTAATTCTAAAATGTGTACATAAAATTATTGAAATTTAACAATATCTGCAATAAATTTATGTTGGTTCTTGTTCTGTTTACCCTGGGGTTGTTATCGCTGCTCTCCCTGCTCTCATCCATGCTAGGCTGCATGGATGCGCAGGGAGTTCTTGCCCAGAACGGAACCATACCGTCAATCCAAACTGTATGCTAATTGTCAATCATCTTTGACAATAGTGGTCCTGACAGAATTGTAGCTTTTTTCATCTCTCAATTTGGACTTTGTTTCTTGCAGTTCTGAGAAAATATTCTGCAATTCTTAGATTTGTTTCTGACACTGAATAAAAAGTTTAAAAAGTAGCTGCGACTTTTTTTCCCCGCAGTTGCGAGTTTATATCTCATAATTCTGCATTTATATCTCAATCCTGCGTTTATATCTGGCAATTCTGTTTATATCTCACAATTCTGTGTTAATATCTCGCAATTCTGAAGGAATTTTTATCCTGTGGCGGAAATGGGCTTCCATATTATAGCAACAAAAAAGGATTTCAAATGTTATTCCACTTAGAGTCAATATGAAACAACATACTTCTGTAATGTGGGCAGAACGTGATTTTTCTATTAGAAATGATCCATTGGGAATTGATTGGGTTGAAAAATGGGCCTTCCATTCTTGCAGCCTAAATGTCTGTTCACATCAAGGGCAATAACTATAATGATAATGATAACTATAAAGGTTTAATAATTGTTTTATTAATTGTGAGTCCACTCCATAACCATAATGACAAAGAGGAACGATATCATTATCAAATATCGAACCACTTTCAGATGGATTTCTTCCATGTGGTGAACATTGATCAGAATCCATCCTGCTTTAAAGAGCTCGAACATTTAAAGCAATAGGCGAAAAAACTGCAGCACGCAATTATAATAAACAGAACGATATTGTGCGTTGGTCTGTATGCAAATATAGTTTTCATTATAGTTACCTTTATAGTTCCTGTTCTTGGTGTGAACGGGCCTTTACACATAATTATTTTTCTTTTATATGTTTATATGCATTTTCTCTTCATTCTGGTGTTTCAGGGTGATGAAGAGTCCAGTTTGGGCCTTCCCATCAGCCCTTTCATGGACCGCACAGCACCACAGTTGGCCAAACTGCAGGAGTCCTTCATCACACACATCGTCGGGCCTCTCTGCAGCTCTTATGATTCAGCCGCCCTCATGCCCGGCCACTGGGTCGACCCTCTGCCCAAAGAGGGTGAAAATGCTGAGGAAGAGACGGATGAAGAGGAGGAGGAGGAAGACACACCGGAAGAAGACGCCTCCACCAGCTCAGAACTTTCCCGTGAGTTCACGTTTTTTCCTGAAACTTTGCAGATTAAGTATAATATCTAGTCCAGATTGCATTAATGTAAGAGCACGGACTCAATTTTACATTCATTCCTTATTCAAACGGAACTGAACGTACAGTGTATATGTTAGGGCTGTCAACGTTAACGCGTTGCATGCGATTAATTTTACAATCCTTAATGCGTTAAAATAATTCAACGCAAAATTACTGAAGCACAATTTCTATTCTAACCCTTTAACCCAATTTTGCTACTCTGCTTGCGATCAGATCATTTTAAGCTGCTAAACTCCGGGAAAGTTTTCAGTCCAATGATCCAGTAAGCGAATGCATTCAAACAATCCATCCAAAACAGCACTAATATAAAGGAAACCAGGCTGATTACATCAGAGATTGCAGAGAGAACAGAGACTCACGTTGTGTTTTCAGTGAATTATTCATTCCAGTGTGTTTCGCTTTAAAACACAAGCTCTGTCATATTCTGTGATTGTCTCTGAAGAGCGCGACCTCTCACACGTCACACGCGCTGTGTGAAGTATTCTCAACTCATCCCACCGCTGTATGGCCAGATGCAAACTACGGTTTCTCGACTAGATAACCAGTCTCACTAGTAAAGTTTTGATAGATGAAGACTGCAATCAAGGTAAAGACGATTGCGGTGGCGTACAGGAGTTGTACAGTAAGCACGCGTCAGTCCATTATAATAATGCGTGTATGAGTGCTCTTGACGCACTGTTCGCACATGGTATTTATGCACAGGCAGGGCTGCATATATTCTATATATATATATATATATATATATATATATATATATGGTACAATGGAGCTAAAGACCCACCTTAAGAAAAGATTTCCTTCATGCTGTTGAACACAAAATAATATATTTGGAACAATATTGATAACCAAACAGTTGCTGGGCCCTATCTACTACCATATATGAAGAAAAAAAAAAACACTATTGGAGTCAGTTGGGACCAGAAACTGGTTACGATCATTCTTCAAAATATCTTCTTTTATGTTGAGGAGGAAAAGGAAATTCATTGAGGTTTAGAACAATTTGAGGGTGAGCATACGATGACAGTGTCTTCACGTTTGGGTGAATATCCTTTTAAGATCTCATCATATAGGCTAAGGATCTCATATAGCCTAACACATGCTTTATCTTTAACTATTAACATTCATTTAAGACACAAATAACTGTGTTTACGAGGATACTCGCAAAGACGGGCATTTTGACACATAACTATGTGTATTTGACCGTTTAAGCATAAGGAGCGAAAGTTTAGTCCGTAATACGAGCAGGTGCACGCCGCACGTATCAGGTAGAAACCGTTTTAACGCACGCATTTATCAGAATGAATTCTGCCCCGCAGCGTAATGACGATAGTTTTTATCTGCTCCATGTGCCGGTTCACTTGCTGTTCCAGCAACTTCCACTCCATCATCAGCTTTAGTAAAATAACCTGATAGCTGGGGAATTTACTAAATCATGTTTTTTATGTTGTTTGTATTTGTTTTTCGTTTTTTGAGCCGCTCTCTCTTAGATGTTTTGATTTGTCATGTGTATGTTGCTGTGTCATGTGTTAGTTATTCTGAATTGATCCATGTACTGTAGTAAATATATGCAGTCAGCAGGCGGTTGGTTAATGGGTTTTTGGCATGTCCATGTGGTACTGTTCGGTATCGCAGCTTGCTGTTATGCTGTACACATACTATAAAGATCAGAATTAGTTTTTTTTTTTTTTCATATGTGCTTAGATGGGCTCCTTCATCTGGTTCTTTGGTGTCGATTTGGAGTATCCTTTTGGAGTCCTTTTTTGGAAAGACATCTACATTTATCTTGAAAAAAGCTTGCAGAAAATACAGATTTTTGAGAATCACCCTTCAATCTTTTGGTTTACTTTGCTGAATATATCAAATGATGACAAAATAACCATTTGAAACATGAAGTGTGCAATTAATCGCGATTAATCACAGAAAAAGGATGTGATTAATCAGATAAAAACTTTTTATCTATTGACAGCACTAATATATATATATATATATATAGTGTATATATATATATATATACTGTAAGATACAAGATGTAGATGTAAGATGTATTTGTATTTATTTAATTTAGTCAGTTTGTTTTTTATTTATTTTTTAATATTAAATATTATTTATCAGTATGGATCAGTATGTATTTAAGCAGTAACAACATTGTATATCTGATTTTTTAAAAGTAATTTTTCATCTTCATTTTTGGGTGAATATCCTTTTAAGATCTCATCATATAGGCTAAGGATCTCATATAGCCTAACACATGCTTTATCTTTAACTATTAACATTCATTTAAGACACAAATAACTGTGTTTACGAGGATACTCGCAAAGACGGGCATTTTGACACATAACTATGTGTATTTGACCGTTTAAGCATAAGGAGCGAAAGTTTAGTCCGTAATACGAGCAGGTGCACGCCGCACGTATCAGGTAGAAACCGTTTTAACGCACGCATTTATCAGAATGAATTCTGCCCCGCAGCGTAATGACGATAGTTTTTATCTGCTCCATGTGCCGGTTCACTTGCTGTTCCAGCAACTTCCACTCCATCATCAGCTTTAGTAAAATAACCTGATAGCTGGGGAATTTACTAAATCATGTTTTTTATGTTGTTTGTATTTGTTTTTCGTTTTTTGAGCCGCTCTCTCTTAGATGTTTTGATTTGTCATGTGTATGTTGCTGTGTCATGTGTTAGTTATTCTGAATTGATCCATGTACTGTAGTAAATATATGCAGTCAGCAGGCGGTTGGTTAATGGGTTTTTGGCATGTCCATGTGGTACTCTGTACATTCACGTTGTTTCCACACACATTCATGATAATGTTTTGATTTGTCATGTGTATGTTGCTGTGTCATGTGTTAGTTATTCTGAATTGATCCATGTACTGTAGTAAATATATGCAGTCAGCAGGCGGTTGGTTAATGGGTTTTTGGCATGTCCATGTGGTACTGTTCGGTATCGCAGCTTGCTGTTATGCTGTACACATACTATAAAGATCAGAATTAGTTTTTTTTTTTTTCATATGTGCTTAGATGGGCTCCTTCATCTGGTTCTTTGGTGTCGATTTGGAGTATCCTTTTGGAGTCCTTTTTTGGAAAGACATCTACATTTATCTTGAAAAAAGCTTGCAGAAAATACAGATTTTTGAGAATCACCCTTCAATCTTTTGGTTTACTTTGCTGAATATATCAAATGATGACAAAATAACCATTTGAAACATGAAGTGTGCAATTAATCGCGATTAATCACAGAAAAAGGATGTGATTAATCAGATAAAAACTTTTTATCTATTGACAGCACTAATATATATATATATACATACAGTGTATATATATATATATATACTGTAAGATACAAGATGTAGATGTAAGATGTATTTGTATTTATTTAATTTAGTCAGTTTGTTTTTTATTTATTTTTTAATATTAAATATTATTTATCAGTATGGATCAGTATGTATTTAAGCAGTAACAACATTGTATATCTGATTTTTTAAAAGTAATTTTTCACTTTCTTAAGCAACATTTCTCTACAAAAATCATCACTTAAAGTGTGTGTGTGTGTGTGTGTGTGTGTGTGTGTGTATATATATATATATATAAGATAAAATATATCTTTGCATTTATTTAATTTATTGTATGAATATTAATTACTTTTTTGTAGATCAGTATGTATTTAAGCAGTAAAAATACTTTTTAAAAAAGTTATAAGATAATATATAGGATAAAATGCCTTTGGATTCATTTAATTTAATCAGTTTTTATATTATTATTATTATATTATTTTTTCAATTATATATATATATACACATTAGATATGTGGATCAGTGTGTATTTAAGAAATAAAGACACATTGCTTGTCTTATTATTTTACTTATATGCAACATTTCTCTATAAAAACAAAAACCATCACTTAAAGCTGCTATTTAAATATTTATTTAATCAATATTAATTATTATATATGTGGATCAATGTGTATGCAAGAAATGAAGACACATTGCATGTCTGATTTATGTGTGTGTGTGTGTGTGTGTGTGTGTGTGTGTGTGTGTGTGTGTGTGTGTGTGTGTGTGTGTGTGTGTGTGTGTGTGTGTGTGTGGTT